CAAAATCAAAAACACCATGGAGAGGATGTGGAGAAAGGGGAACACTTCTCCACTGCTGGTGCGAATGCCAACTTGTACAGCCACTTTGGAGATCAGTATGGTGACTCCTGAAAAAAATGGGAATCAGTCTACCACAAGATCCAGCAATTCCACTCCTTGGCATATACCCAAAAAGAAGCACATTCATACAACAAAGACATCTGTTCAACCATGTTCATAGCATCAGTATTTGTAATAGCCAGTAACTGAAGAACAGATAGAGAAAATGTGGTACATTTACACCATGGAGTACTACTCAGCAGAAAAAAAAAAAACAATGGGATCTTGAAATTCTCAGGCAAGTGGATGGAACTAGAAGAAACCATCCTGAGTGAGGTAACCAAGTCACAAAAAGACAAACATGGTATGTATCCACTCATATTAGACATAGAGTAAGGGATTACCAGCCTACAATCCACACTGTCAGAGAAGCTAGTAAATAAGGAGACCCTAAAAGCGATAAACTTTGTCTCCTGGAGAAGGGGAAAGGGTCACCATCCTCTGAGGAGATTGAGAACATGGGAAGAGGGTGGAGGGAGCTATGAGAATGAGAAAGGAAGAAAAGGAAGGCTGCAATGGTCATGAGGGAGCAGAAAGGTTGAGTCAGGTGTAGATTATAAGAAAGATATGTGATAGGTAGGGTTTCTGGTGCGGGGAGTGGTAGGGGAGGAAGGAGGGAGAAGGGAACTGGGATCCTCATGTAATTCAATCTCGTTTGTAATTCAAATAAAAAAGAATAAAAAGTCTCTCCTGCAAGCAAAGCACAAAAATTCTTCAAACTACCCACAAAGTGAAGTCACAAGTCTTAAATGGTTGCCTCTTTCCATTCAACCAGGCAGGTGTTTCAAGATGATGTTGAGATTGATAGCTTTTTAAAAAATAAGATGGCAAATGATGCCAGCGGGAAAATCTTCAAACAATAAGAGAAAGGAATAATTTTCTAATGGTAATTTTAAAACACACTCCCATTCCCCAAGATCTGTAAAACCTGACTCCTATTACTAGGTTCTCACATTGTTATCAGTGTTTAAAACATCAGAGTTGAATATAAAACCAAATAAAGTCTTAGAATGGTGTTTTAGAAATATGAACATCTAGAAACATACCACAGTTCTTCAGAGACATATTTGTGGGACAGGGGATAGGGAAGAATTCCAGCTTAGCTTAGCTTGTCCTTGAGTTCACTATCCTCCTGCTTTAGCCTCAATAATGCTGTGATTACAGGAATGAACTACCAAGCTCAAGTCTCCAGTGTTATAAATATTAACATTTACTTATTGTGCTTGCATGTATGTACTTGGGCATGTGTGTCATTGCATTCATGTGGAGGTCAGAAGATAACTTGTAAGAGTAGCTACTCTCCTTCCACCATGTGGCTCCTGGGGATCAAACTCAGGTTGTGAGGATTGGGGGGAGGGCTTTTACTTGCTGAGCTCTCTAGAGTTATGTTTAGAGAACTGTTTATATAGCTAATCTGCAAATGGTTCCTGAACAATCAAATGGTCAGCATCTTAGCAGTTTACAATTGCTTTACCCACGTAGGTCCCCTGATCCATGGTATAGATGAGAGTAGAGTCAGATAAAGAGCAAGTTCATTCCTTCATCAAAGAAGAGTGGGTAAATTTCAGGCTGTCAGACAGTCATATATTAGGATAGATTAAAACAGCATGAGTAAATGTTAGAAGGATTTTAAAGCTTATGTTTTAGTGAAGCAATATAAAGCATCTCTTTCCCTCCATTTTGAATTAGAGTCAGTATGAATTCAGAAGTGTTGAAACACATGAAAATGTCATAATTGACAAGTGATTTGCATAGCATGCATCCCTTTATGATGTAATAAGAAAGGCTCTGGAGGGCAGACGTCAGCCTTCCTGAGATTCAGAGGCAGCAGCAGAACATAGCGGCTCCACTAGAGATGAGATGTGGTCTAAGGGACGATATGACTATAAACGTCTTCCAAGAGAACGATCTCCCTCTTGGAGCCCTGTCAGTGATGGCTACCATAGAGTAGCTAATGATGTGCCAAAGAGACCACCTCTGCGAGACAAGAGAGCGCCTGTGCTAGACAAGAGAGCGCCTGTTCTAGACAAGAGATCACCTCTGCGATATAAGAAATCGCCTATAAGAGACAAGAGACCACCTCTACGAGACAAGAGACCGCCTGGGCGAGACATGAGACCATTTCTGCGAGACATAAGACCACCTGTGCGAGACAAGAGACCGCCTGAGCGAGACATGAGACCACCTGTGCGAGACATGAGATCG